TGACAATACGAAACCCTCTGTCCTTAGACCCTCACATCGTACAAGGAAACACTTCCAGAGAAAACCCACAGTTTAAAGGGAACATGGGAGAAACCTCAGGGAGAGCAACAGAGGAGGGATCCCTCTCCCAGGACGGACAGACGTGCAATAGATGCCGTGTGTAAATCGAAGAGATAATACATTTTACAGCATATAGACCGAATGTTAGGAAATGCATGTGTGTATAATAAGAAGATGAATCCACAAGGATGTCAACAATCCTGTGGAAGCCATCAGGGAAGTAGTATGGCGAGAGTCAGCCAGGACCGCAGAGACAGGTTCAGCCACGACTCGAAGTCCAGGACTCAGATCAGGACTCAGGATCCAGGACTCAGGATCCAGGATCCAGGACTCAGGATCCAGGATCCAGGAGCCAGGACTCAGGATCCAGGACTCAGGATCCAGGACTCAGGACTCAGGATCCAGGACTCAGGAGCCAGGACTCAGGATCCAGGACTCAGGATCCAGGACTCAGGACTCAGGATCCAGGACTCAGGATCCAGGACTCAGGATCCAGGACACACGACCACAGCAACAGGATCAGCCACGACTCAGGATCCCGGCGTAACGACATGTTCACTTAGCTAATGAGTTACTTCCAATTAAGAAAACATGTGTAAAATGAGAGTTTATAGCTCACCTCTGTTGATTTCAGGGGCCTTCCGCTCCCCTACAGATCTTACAAAATACTGTATATAAGGATCCTTCCAGTAGCTTTTACTGGAAGCAAACCTAGAACACAATTAGACATTTGATTAGTAGATGGCATCGATGATTAGGTATTAAGTAGTATTATTATTTATTCAATGTACCCCCTTGAATATTAACACTAAGGATCAAGAACTGGCTCTATTGATCTGTCGAATTTTAAACCCCTATTATTATTTTTTGTGCACCATACCAGTGGTGACAAAGTACATTTACGTACTAAAGTATTTATTTAAGTGCAATTCGAGTTAGGTGTACTTTCCATAAGCCTTTTTCCTTTCATGCAGCTTTATGCTTCTGTTCCATACGATAAGATAAGATGGAGCTTTATTAATCCCTGTGGGGAAATGCAGTTGTTTAGGACATGCAGGACTTTTACCTCACTACACTTATCTGACATTGTTATCCCCTTCCTGTCCAGTGAAAACAATGTACCTCCAGATGTGCTGCTTTTGAATATTCCTGATAAACTGAAAGATAAAGTGTTTATTGAGAAATATGAAGTTTCCTGAGCTCATGAGAAGATTACTTTTAAGAGACAACAGACATGTGATGATCTTATTCAGTATGATGTGATTTAAACTAACATGATTCAAATGTAGCACAACCATACACATCTACAGCAGTACCATTCACATTAATGCGTCAACAATATGAATCCAATATTCATATATAATTTTAAAACACTGCTCAAGGTTTGAGATGCAGGACTATTACTTATTACATAGTACGTTCAAAGTGTGGTAAGTACTTTTAGAGGATCTGTATATATTTGTTCTACCACTGTTCATACTATATGGTCTGATCCATATCTCAGACCACTCCCATGATAAACCATATGCATATGCGCAGTGTCAAAATGTTGAGAGCCAACGAGAACATTTAGCAATAAGGCACGTTAGTTAATATTCGTGCATATGCATGATATCCTATACTACTCACCTATTAAATGGCCATTGATTGCATGTTAAATAATGAAAGCTGCTGCAGCACGTTACCTTTTGCAGATGGTTGCATCGTCACAGGTCGCCCTCACTGCTTCATCAGAAGTGTCCGAGTCTATGTAAGGCTGCCGAGCTGCCATTAGCTATTCTTGTCCTAAAGTTAACTTTTTAACATTAAAACTGTAAGCGTTCACCAGCTCGTCCACAAGGGCTAACTTAGCCACAAGCTAACTGGCTAGCTCTTTTTTGACAGGTGGGGCTGTTTAATAAAAACGAGGAAGAAGAAGAAAAAAGCTGTGAACGTAGTCGGGTTGCTCAAGTACTTTCGTATAATAAACAATGTATTAGTTGAATAACAATAAGCGATATTTAACGAGAGAGTAATATTTTGCAGGCTAATAACAACTCGCAGCAAGAAATGAATGAGCACTTCCGACCAGATGGTAAACACTTCCGGTTGATATGTTCAGAATAAAAGAAACCCTGCAAAAGTAAACAACAATGAAAATGTATGAAGTAAACCCCAATTTCACTTACAGTAATAAACATTATTTGTAGAATCTTTCACACAATGCTTTACTCTTTGGGAATATAGAATACAATTATCATGAAAAGAAGGTATAACTAATGGACAATTACATTACAAACAAGGGTTATTAAAGAAAGATAAACGGAATATATTGAAGGCATAACATGAGATAGAAAATAAACAAAAGGAATAATGTTAATAATTCTAAAATCAGTAGCCATAGTGCCCATATTTGCAGCAGGCGTACATCAACCCTCTCTGCAGCATCAACATGACAGAAAGCCATATTCATACCACCACTGCACCATCCTTGAAAAACATTATTTCTTGAGTTTTGACAATTAGAAGTCTTGAAAAATGTGCTTTATTTATAAATGTTTACATGGACTGCCCCCCAAAGCAGAGGGACAACTTTTGGACAAAATGTCCTCTCCGTTAGAGGCATTGTGGAATAGCCTCCCAACTGAGATACAGGATTGTCCCACTCTCAATAGCTTCAAAGGTCAACTCAAAGAATGGTTGAGAAACAGACGCAATCACCGCTAAATGCACTTTAATACAGGGGTATCTCCTCTTGCACTTTAGGTAGCTCTTGTATCTTCTCTTGCACTTTATATGCCGTTGCTGCTATATTGTATTACCATGTCATAAATACGTGTGTATGCTGCTCTTGCTCTTTTGCACTGTTTGCATATACCATGTATTTTGTTTTTGCTATGTTTGTAAAATGTCATTTGTTTGTAAAATTTCGTTTTCTTAAATGTTTTATGTGTTTTATCTGAGGGGCTCAAAGCTAAATCTGGCATATTTACGCTTGACACATTTTATTGTTTTAATGTTCATTAATGTGCAATGTCCCCGCTAAATAAAGGCTGTGGCTCAGTGGTTAGTGTGCTGAATGCTCGAAGTGCTCGAATGAGGAGGTAGCAAGTTCGAGTCCCACTGCAGTCAGCATGTCGTTGTGTCCCTGGGCAAGACACTTCACCTCAAATTGCTCCTGTGAGGATTGTCCACAGTATTAAGTATGTAAGTCGCTTTGGATAAAAGCGTCTAACAAGTGACATGTAATGTAAACGATTAAATAAAAATAAAACATGTTTCCTGTCCCTTTCACATTTTTGTTGTCTTTTCTGTTTCTATATTAGTGGTTGAGATTTGAATTTGTTAAGTATTTCACCTATAGAGTGCACTCTCTGCATTATAGGATTCTTAATCTGATGTTCTGTGTTTTGCACTGAGCCTCATCTTTTGGTTAGATAGAAGCCCGGTTGATTATTATCCTGGAAATGAGGCACAGACAGTAAAAGATGCAACTGAAAAGAGGCACCACAATCAGCCGATCACTTTCATCTGTTTCATTCTGGAGATTGGTGAATACAGCCTGATGATAAAAGTGAAACAATGTCTCGCTTTGAAGAGTTTTAAAAAGGGGGATTAACAAAGGGGGGAAACAATAAAATGGTGCTTCCATCAATTCCCATGTGAAATATGGAATCTAAGGCACTGTGCAACATTTTCTCGCATATGTTGTTGGGGGAAATCCTGCTATTATAAAGCCAACGTCATTGAGGATGTCACTCAGATAATTGAGATGTTCTTATGGCATCAGTGTGTCTGAAACCTGCAGCATGTATAAAAAGAGACATACTAATAAGAAACTTTAGCATCTATTTCAATATCAATAAAGGTGAGAAACCATTCAGCTGCAAAGATCTCAGCTCTGCTCTCCTGGAGAAACAAAGTGCTATGTGCTTTGTGGACTGTTAAACATCATGGCTGTACACAACATGTGTTTTTACAATAATGTCTTAAAGCTGACGTTGCAATATTTAAATTTAGATTGACATCCAGCTGAAAGGCATCATTAACTGTGACTTCGATCTGATAGAATCATAATGCATTTGGCCTCTGAAAGATGCCTGTCTGAGTCATTTGAATGCTATCAGTTACCTATGTTGAGTACCATTAGGAGTCAGTCTAGCCTTATTGCCTTCTCAGCAAAAAGGAAGTGGGGTTTTACTAATGCTGTTTCCAGTCAAATGAATTCCCTGGTACTTTACCTTTACACCATCTGATTTAAAGGAAGACAATTTAGCATCGGTGCAATACTCCAACATCTGAATTTTTATTAAAAGCATGTTTATTTTATTGCATTAAAGGCTGTTTTGAATCAGTGAAGAACTCAAAAGTCTGTTTTTTTAAATAAAAGTTGTTTAATTTTGTAGTAGAGGCTTTCTAACAGTAGTTTTATATCATTGTAGTACAGGCTTTTTGCATAAGTCCAGAGCTCCAAAGTCAGTGTTATTTTAATACAAGTCGTTTTGTGGTTGTTGAAGTACAGGTTCTTTTGCATCATTGCAGCTAAGCACCTTGAATTGCCTTGTGTTGAAAGGTGCTATAAATAAACTTGCCTTGCCTTGCCTTTCTAAAAAGTCAGTATTTTTTAATAAAGTATTTGTTTATTGCAGTACACTCGTTTTTCATCAGTTAAGTACTCAAAAGTATTGTTTAATTTCATTGTAGTACAGGCTTTTTTGCATCAGTGCACTGCTAGAAAGTCAGTATTTTTCATAAAAGTCGTTTTTTTTGCATCACTGAACCCAAAAGTGTGTTTTTTTAAATAAAAGTTGTTTAATTATTTTTGCAGAACAGGCTTTTTTTTTTACATTAGTTTAGAGCTCCAAAGGAATTGTTCGTCCTAAAAGCACTTTTATTTTGTTGCAGTACAGTCTTTTTGTGCACAGTGCAGGGCTCCATATGTTCTCCAGTCGATGTCCAGGGGGAGGTGGTGCTCCAACGTGACTTCCTGCCGCCCTCCTCCCTCTCTGAGCGGGCAGAGGCAGAGGTGAGCCCCGCTGCTGCTGCTGCTGCTGCTGCTGCACTTCACTCTGGGAAAGAAAAAGCGGCCGACGGACGGATTATCAGCTCAGTAACAGTTAGCTCGTCGGCTAACGGGTCAACACCAAAACAAGCCACCGAGGGGGAGCCATGAAAACCCTCCAGTGAAAGTTACGCACGGTTTACCCGAAGACTTTAATGCACGGAAAGGCACAAAAAAGGAGGATCCCGGATCATGCCTTCGGGAACGGGAAGGCTAGTTTAGGGGCTAGCGAGGCTGCAAACTATTTTTAATTGGCTTTGAATGGCTCCTGCTTGTGTTCTCCTGTCATAGCGACAGTTTGGGGAATTAAAAAAGAAAGGGAGAGGCCCTTCATGACAAATCAAAAGCCCGGATTTAAAGCGTAATTTGGGAAGAAAAGCTACCAAAGGGACCCAAAATGAAGAAGCAGTTCAATCGGATGAAGCAGCTCGCCAATCAAACAGTTGGCAGGCAAGTATTCAAGTCACCGCTGGTTAATGCTTATGGGAAAACTAGTTAGCAAACACACTTCATTCTGCTCTTTTTCCATGCTTTTCGATTTATTTTAACCCCATACTATTCCTTAACTTGCTTTCTATCAGTTATGCAGATGTGGAAGAAGTACTTTCATCATCTACTTGAGTAAAAGTAGAAGTACCATAGAGTACGAATACTCAGTAATGAGTAAAAGTCCTGCAATTAAGATGTTACTCAAGTAAAAGTACAAAAGTATTTGCATATAAATATACTTACAGTACCAAAAGTAAAAATACTCATTCTGCAGATTGACCCAGTTCAGAATCATCTATGATATGTATTGGTTATAATTATTGGTGTGTTTATCAAAGATGGTAAAGGTGGAACTAAATGTGATTACTTTATTTACTGCAGGGTAGAATGTGAATTTACCTCAGGTGTAACTAAAGTCTGATTTAAGTGTTGATTATGTTGTTTACCTTTTTAAGTACTTAAGGGTAGTAAATAAATGTAGTGGAGTATTTTCATGTTATGCTACTTTGTACTTTTAGTACAAAGTAGCATAACATGAAAATACTCGTACATCGAAATTGTACTTAAGTACAGTACATGAGTATACATCTACTTAGTTACATTACACCACTGCAGTTATGACAATGCAATGTTGTAACAAGAGAACATTAGTTTTCAGACTGAATGAATCCATTGCTTTTAAAGCCAGACATACAGGCCTGCAGACAGTTAAACTGGATGTGGGAAAAGCTGTACTTGATGTGTGCAATCCAACCAGATGTCCTCCTGAAAAGTCTGAATCAGCCATCTGCACATTAGCACTGTCTGCCTGGGAAATAAACAGCAACAGCGAGAAGCCCCATGAGTGTGCATTTTGCTTTCGGTCATTGACCCGCCCTGAGCTGAGTCACTTTCTTTCATTATAAGGTTGTATTCTGCTGTCAACATCTGTGCAAAATAGCATGTCTGACGTGCTTTGGAAAACATACAGTAGGGAAACCAATTCCTACTTTTGGATGATTTTACAGTATCTATACTATCAATACAGTAGTGGTTGAAGAAGTACTCACATCCTTCACTTAAGTAAAACAATAAATAGTTTGGTCTTAAAATACTACATTACAAGTAAATGTACAAAAGTATCATAGGCTAAATGTACTTAAAGTAGCAAAAGTACACTTTTAACAGTATAGAATATCATTTTGTCCTGTTTTTATCCCTAATTTATACATTTAAGCGCATTTTAAAGTTGTAGTTTGTCAATGTGGAACCAATTTTAGATACTGGGTTGATAAGTAGCACAGTACTGCATTATATCATATCAGCATATCATGTGTTTTACATTCCTCTCCTACAGTTTAGAGCTTTCTTAGAAATACTGATGCAGTAAAGGGTTATCATTTTACCTCTCTACTGTATAGGGATTGAGTTTGCTTTGTAACATTTGCAAACTTGACAGTCAAATATGCTTAATCTAGATTAAAAGTAGAGATGCAGCAATACTAAGTCAAAAAGCTTGATGTCAAAGTAGGCCAATCTCATATCTGATACCATTATTTTAATAAAAACAATTCAGTACATTTATATATTAACGTATGTATTTAATACATCCTGTTTTACAAAGGTCAACCCTAATGTTGCCTTACACATAAAAGATCATAGTCTCTTCTACCTAGTGAAGCATACACCTTATTCATTCTAAATAACAATGGGGTTAGCCAACATCCTAAACCAGCGATTAAAAAGGTAAAATAGGTGCATCCAAATATTGACAGGTAAAATGTTTCATTATTATGGCACTGATGACGTTTTAAAGCAGATATTTAGCTGATAACAGACCTTAATTCATGAGTTTATAAAGGTGTGTTCCTGGTCTTTGCTGCACTGTCCATGTCCGGCCTCACTTGCCCCCTGAGCAGCTGAGGGAGGGGGGAGAAGGATTTACAGGACTCACATCCTGCAGCAGTGGATGTTTAATACTCTGCACCATAGCTTTCACTCTGTGCTGATAAAGAGGCAGTAAGAGCCTTCTCCATTTGTGAAACTCTAGCCGCTCCGCTTCTACCAGACATCAAACTTAAAACATATCAAATAGATTAATGCTCCTAAGTGATGCACAATTGTCTTTCTGTCTTCAATCCAAAACTTCCCTCTCTCAGAACTTCTAACAGACAGCAGTATCTAAGCTATTAAGATAATACATCCCAACAATGAGGAGGCATTCTGCAGCTTATTAAGTAATACCACAGTGTTCCTTTGTGACTGAATATTCACAGCAGCAATAGCTTCAGCATGGCCTTGTGTTGACAGGGGGGGGGGCGAGTTAAGCCAGAGGATGTTTTCATCATGAGGGCCAACCCTGCGTGTGTGAGATTTTGTGTGTACCGTGTGTGTGTGTGTGTGTGTGTGTGTGTGTGTGTGTGTGTGGTACCTCAGGCAGACAACGCATGTGCACCAGAGTACTGGATGGTACCAGATAAAGCCAACAACAGGCTGGAAACAATATTGTGTCAACGCTGAACAGGCATTATCACCACATAGAATATACTTTTCTACGTTTAAAAAGTGTGATATATTTCCATGTTAAAGGTCCCATGTTGTGCTTTTCTGGTTATTACTCGTCCCCTTGTGTGCTATGAAGGTTTGTCTGCATGTAAACGGTCTGCAGAGTCAAAACCCCTCAAAGTACACCCTGTAGCGAGTAAAACTCTAACACAGAGAAGACCTGTCTATGCTGCCCCAGAACGCCTCGTTGGAGATTTTTATTTTCCATTGTTTACTTCCTGGGTTCTGTGACGTGTGAACACCCAAATCAACAACAAATGACCGGATTGGCCCAATCCGCGGAGCACCTCACACACCAGGATCCCTTGGCTAACTAACAGGGAGTCCCATTGACTTGCATAGAGCTCCCTGAACGCTGGTAATAGACGAGTTGGGATGGCGGAGAAATGCTCTCCGCAGACCCATTCTCACAGCATTATAAACAGGGCTGCACATAACTGGTGCGCAGGTGCGCATACGCACCTCCGCCAAAAAAAGAGCACCGGGTCATTTGAAAAAAGGCGCATTTGTGTACCAAAATTGAGAGAGAGAGAAGGGAGAAGAGAGGAGAGAGAAAGAGAAAGATATTTGCGAGTTGCATATGAACTCAGGGGTCGGCCCGTAGCACTGGCCATGGCGCTGGCACTGGCGTTATAGATGTTCGCCTAGGGCGCCAGACCTGGGGAGGCGCTGCGCTGGCAGTTCTGGGAGGGAAAAAACAATTTTGACCGTTGGCGCTCATCCTAATTTTCGGCCTTGATGTAACAACATTCATAATTAAGTAAATGTAACACCCTTTTCACCTCGGTTACACGTTTCATTTGCCCTGTACGATGGGCGCTGTAAGTGATGAAAATGGGGGATGTTGGCTTATCTGGCGCCCGAAGCTCACAGCCAAAATGCGAGTGAGCGAGGGAGAGAGAGAAGGGCACACCGCCCGGTGTTGTTATTAGCATCTGGTGCTCGCTGCTCTAACGGATATAAGAAGAAGATGTTTCTACAATGATGTGGAGGGAGAGTCCTCTCCAGTCAGACTGAGAGGCTGATACTACAGCTCAGTGAGGTAAAGGACTCTGAGTGTTTAGATAGTTCACTTTAGTCTAAGTTCAAACAGTTTGGTCACAATTTATGTTAACACATATTTCCAAGGCACTCCTTTATAATTATTGGGATAAACAGGTTTGAAATCATTCCAATGTATACTATAGGACAGTAACCAAAAATATCCTTTAAAACTGGAGAGATAAAAAATGCATAAATAAATGTTAAGGTAAGATATGATATGAATGAACAACACAAATAAAATAAGTTACATTCATTTGTTATTGGCTATGGTAGGCTATTGGTTATGTTCACATACTTATTTGATTACATCCACTTGTCTAAGATGACAACAGAGACTTTCGACCCAAACCCAGCTGTTGACTTGTGGATGCAAGCAGCTAATCACAGACTCAACCAGAGAGAAAGTAGTAGGCCTACATCATCAGCTACCATGTCTGACAGAGAGGAAGACAGTGAGGAGAACAGTCAGGAGAACAGAGAGGAGAATAGAGAGGAAGACAGTGAGGAGAACAGAGAGGAAGACAGAGAGGAGACAGAGAGGAAGACAGAGAGGAGAGAGAGAGGAAGACAGAGAGGAGACAGAGAGGAAGACAGAGAGGAGAACAGAGAGGAGAATAGAGAGGAAGACAGTGAGGAGAACAGAGAGGAAGACAGTGAGGAGAACAGAGAGGAAGACAGTGAGGAGAACAGAGAGGAAGACAGTGAGGAGAACAGAGAGGAAGACAGAGAGGAAGACAGAGAGGAGAACAGAGAGGAAGACAGTGAGGAGAACAGTCAGGAGAACAGAGAGGAGAACAGAGAGGAAGACAGTGAGGAGAACAGAGAGGAGAATAGAGAGGAGAATAGAGAGGAAGACAGTGAGGAGAATAGAGAGGAAGACAGTGAGGAGAACAGAGAGAAGACAGTGAGGAGAACAGAGAGGAGACAGTGAGGAGAACAGAGAGGAAGACAGAGAGGAAGACAGTGAGGAGAACAGAGAGGAAGACAGTGAGGAAGACAGAGAGGAGAACAGTCAGGAGGGTAGTGATGACAGCTTGTAGGATTACTGGTCGTGCTAATGTTGTCTTGTGTTCACCTCTGCATGTGTGTTCTGTGTTCACAAATAAAGTCAAGACCCCCTCAAAAGCTACGGTTTATTTCATTTTAAGGATGAGCAGCAAGCAACATCTCCAGGTGCTCCTTTGAGAACCAGGGCAAAAAAGTTATGTGCACCCCTGATTATAAACCTTTTTCTTACTCAATATCAAGCCACACTTATTGTTTTTACTTCGGCTGTGAGTGTTTCTGTGTGCTCAGGATGAGTTTCGTTGTGTCTCGCTGTATCGCCGACCCGGAAACCTGTCCGCTCCTCGCAGCAGCGAGCCTCGCAACGT